GCAGGATGCAATCGTATTTTATTATGCATTCTAAATACAAGCAGCTTTCAAAATTCGAAACGAATAAAAATGAAAAGTGTCGAATAATAAATGTGAAACTCTATATTGATACAAACAAGAAACGTACAGCGCATTTTACAATGAAATTTTTACATAAAAACGATGTGAATGTACAATGTATAACAAGTTTTACAAGTTCTTCACAAATTAAATAATCTTTCAAATACTACAATAGAAAGTACTCAAACTAATGAAAACACAATTAGTATGAGAAAATAAAAATTGTTTTTGTGAGAAAATTATGTGGAAAATGGATTATTAATTATAATATTTTTGCGAAGTATAAAAGTGTATTTTTTTCATTTAGAAATTTAGAGATTTGTAATTTTTTTAAATGCCAGGATAAAAATTCTAAACTAAACTTTTATTTTTAATTGTTTTATTGAACGAAATTAATTAATAATTTATTGGGTAATAATAAAGAGATATTCAATTTTAGCCAAAGCGTATTTATTTTTCTAAAATTGAAGTCAAATTGCAATAGTCATTTTTCACAATTATCGATGCATTTATATTTAAAATATGTGTATCAAATTTTATTATTTTCTTACAAAATCTAATTTACTTCTGTTTACAAAAAAATACAGTAGTGTAAAACCTTATATTAAATTACACTTATTAAATTCAGAAACTTTATTTAACATAACTCTATTGCGAGTAAAATATTCAAATTCCCATTTGATGACAGTAGCAAACAAGCTAACCTAATTTCTCTTTCCTGTATTTTGAGAATACCTTTCCTATTCTTAGACTTTCTATTTCCTATACCCCGAAGAGGGAATTATCAACAAATTTTCCATTTGAATCGAGCAGTAGAAATCGAGTACAGTGGTTCTGGTTTTAGGATTGATGAGCCAAGCAAAGCAACTGAGCCATGTGGCGAGCTGCATTACCACGGCGTTATGCGCCGGCACATTCACGTGTGCTACTGCATTAATTAATGTACGTCTCTGCATCAACACCGAGCCTTCTCGTGAGAACCCGTCATATGTTCTGTTCAATGTTTCCGATACAAACGTGTACCGTATAGAGAGGACGGACAACGTCAACGCGCGAAGGAAGCTCCGATCGACAGGAAGACAGGTAAATGGACGCGAAGCCACTGTACCGGCCGAAGGTAGCCCTGCTTATCCCGGATAATTTATTTTGCTGTGTAAGTAGGTCGGGCATTACGTAAAAACCACCTGTGTATTTTAGTATATGTCATCGCTACCCGAATTCAACCGAGGACCATTAATTTGACTGCCACATATGTGGACGACACTTAAATATCCGTGTGAATCTATCACCTGTGTTTGTAAAAATTTTTTCTTCTAATGGAAACTCGGATTGGGAACTGTGAATGGTAAGTGAATAGAATATTATAATATTTGATAAGATTTGTTAAAAATATTGTGTAAGAAAATTTTGTACGTCAGTGTGCAAATATGTTGGGGCTAAAACTGCAAAGGGGTGAAATGATCAAAGTATCAGTTTGAAAAATATAAGTTTATTTTAAAAGAATATGTATGTTAATTTATATTTCATCATTTTATGTATTATTTAACTTTATCTTGAAGTAAGTGTACATTATAAGTTGATAGGTTTAATAGTAATAGAAAATTGTGTTAATTAGTAATTGTAAACACAATTAATAGTAATTGTGATAATAGTAAATACAATTTTACAATCAAATTATTAGAACAGTAAATAAAGGTATTTTACAATAAAAATACCAGAACAGTAAATGAAAGTATTTCACAATAAAAGAATAGTAATAATAGTATTAGAATAGTAAATGAAAGTATTTTATTCAGTAGAACTATTTTATTAAAAAAAATTATTAAACACACCAATAAGAAATTTGTCAAATCATTTGATTTTTGTATAAATCAACAACCAAGCTTTCGACCGGTATGCCATATCAATTCGAAGTTTAAAATGACGGTTACGGGAATAATTACACAAAGCCTTCATTAGCGTTTTTAATACAAAGTGGCTGGTTGCCAGTTACAGCACGCAATAATCGATTCCGAAGCGTATAGAGTCTGACACAGTCTGATGACATAAAAGTACCGCAAAATATCACGTATGTGATATCAGTTTGACAATTAAAATTGCAGAAAATGATCGGATAAACATTTCACCAATGTTAATACAAAATGACTGATTCTTTGTTGGAATCTACAATTTACAGGTAAGAATTATTCATTGGGTAAATGTAATTTTCAATTTCTTTTATTTTTGATGAAGGATTGAAATATTACTGTTAACGTTGATGATATTATTGTGTACTAAATAATTGTTTTCAGGGACTGTTTTATTGTAAATTTTCATTGCGGCAGCTAACGCGTTCAGTAGAATTAAATCGTAAACATTTGTGCTAAAAAACCGAGAACCGAGATAAAAACTTAAATAAAATGCAAGGTAAAATTGTATTTCTGCATAAATGTAGATTATTATAAACTTGCGATGTAATATATTAACAAATATAAGAGATATTATACGTTGAAAATACGTTTTAATTTTATCAAGATAAGGACGTGAAACGCAAAGGATAGTTGAGGAATATGCTGCTGTATGTTACATACATCACTACAAATCATCAATTTAAACTTGATTCAAAACTTATGTAATTATCTAGAGGTTTGGCAAACACCAATTACGTCAAAAGAAGGAACAAAAATTATTAGAGAAAAAGAGGGTTAAAATTATAGTTAGCTACTCAATCGATGACGACATGTAATTAAACAAAATGACTACCTGAAAAATATCTACAAAATATTGACATTCAAAAATTTTCTCAACATTTTTGCGATGTAAAAATTTCCTAATAGATTATATGTTACATGACGAATTGGTTTAAATAAATAAAATTTAGTATCATTGAGAAGAATATCTGTATCATGACAATAAAATAAAATATGATACTTGAAATGTAAAGAGTAGTAATTGATAAAATACTATGACATTCGAATATAAGTTATTTGTAAATACATAAGATAGTTATTCAATCAGAAAACAATTTTATAATAATTTATAATTATAGCCTGTCTACGTATTTCACTTTGTTTTCTGCAATGAACTTTACGGGTCACGCACAAATGTGTATAGTAAACTGCGAGACATGAATAGGTAAGTCGACCATACGAAACAGGAAACAATTCGTTTTATCGCGTTCCACTGAATGGGAAATTTAACCCTCGCCTATTACGTCATTCTCTCGCTCATAAATCTCAATAAAACTATCGTATGATAACGAATTTTTTCTTTAAGCTATACAGAATTCCAATTGAATTATCATAGCACCTGGGAAAAAGCTGCTATCAAAAATAAATATATAGCAATAAAACTGATCTAAAACATTTTTACCACCAGGATTGATTATTCTTTTATTAATAAATAAAATGCAAATAGTATTGCTTATTTTTAAAGATGTATTTTTCTCCTTTTACGACACACCACTTCTTTCTTAAAATATTTCTTTTTCGTTTCTTTTTCAAATTTTGCTTCAAGTTTTTAATATTAGCTTGTATTTGATTTACACTACACGTTTTATTTTATCGTGATATCATTATACTTAGATTAATACACAGATTATTAGTTTAATATGTATAACAAAATTGGTAATATTATTTTCGATTACAAAAGCGATTAAATATTTTTAGATAAGGGATGTTAAGTAACCTAACCTTAAACTATGAAAATGTTTCATACTGACATTTGACACAGACCATTTATTATATTAATTTATTGTATTACATTCTGACTAAAAATTAAGAAATATAGATCTTATATATTGAAGAGTCAAAGGTTATTTTTAATCCTTATTTGTCTAAGATAAGTTTGACTCGTCACCCACCTACGAGTACAGTGCAACAAATAATTTTCTAAACAATGATTCTTTTTGCAAATTCATCTAAGACACTACACTTACTCTTTATTAAAATCACTCAATAATACTTAGACTTTACCATAAAATCATGGAAAATTCTTTATGTACTACTATTTTCAATAAATCTGTTAACCAACTCATATTTTTTATAATATCTTTCGTTTCACCAATAATACAAAACTCCAAAAAACTAAACAACGAATCTAAATAAAAGTCATGTTAAAAAGAGATGTTCAAACTATTCCCATACTGCAAACTGTTAATACCTATTCCCATATTGCAACGAATTCTCCATCAACGTTACGTAAATAATCGAGATAAGAGTTAAAAGCGTGCTATCATCCCAATTTTCAGCTGGCGGTATCGTGCGTTTAAAATTTCTTTCAAGTATCCTACTCCAGCAAGGTTTAAAATTCTCTGGCAATATCGTAACCGCGTTATCGACTCGTCGATAAAGACCCGCCAGATTCGTCGAACATGTTCAAATCGGTTCGAAACGGTCCGCTATCGAACAGCTGCGTTTCTTCGCGTGCGCCCGCACGTAACCCGCGCCTAATGCACTCCGCCGAGCATGTATGCGTGTACACGTGCATTGTGTCTGTCCGTATGCAAAAGCGGGGTGAGGAGGCGCCATTGTAAACGTTCCGTGTACGAACAGGCTGTCGGGGGCATAACGGATACATCGAACGTAACAGTTGCGCACATGCCGCCAGAAATAACCGCGCGTAAACAGACGCACGAAAAACTTTTAGGGGTTCGATGCGTGAACGAGCGACCGACCGACCGACATAAAGGAGGACGTGCATGAAAATCCGACGCTCGTAAACTCGCGCGGATTCATCCATTTTCGCGGCCGTCTATCGGGACGTCTATACCGGAAGCACCCGTTTTTACGACCCCGCTATGCATTTTCCGCGCCCTACGCCGGCGAACGACTTCGTGACTCGGTTTCCGATGCTCGTAATACATTCTCCGATATTTCGTTCCTCCGTGAATTTAACAAAGACGTTGCAAGTCTCACTGCGTTAGAATTAATCGCACTATCCATTGGAGCACTGGAACTCACCATTTGCAAGTCGTTCCGACGCGACGATACAACATCCACTATATGAACCATTGGTGAGAGTTTCCAGGTCCGTGTTTAAGAGTGCCGCTGTAGGAAATAAAACGCGAGCTCACTCGGTGCGACCACAAAGGAATCGAAAGGTTCACTGTCGCGTGTCAGGGCGCAGGACGGCACGAGCGTGTTTAATTCGTCGCGCGAACGCGCGCCACCGAACCGTCGGCTATATTGCACGTGTTTCCGGCCGCGATTTTCCACAAGCACAAAAGGAGCACGCAACGTGTACGACTCTTCCTCTTCACCGGTACGGTAGTTCCACGTAATGCACGGATTTCCGCGTGGACGTGCCGGGGTGTACGCGCGTTCTGAGCGTCCTTTCGGGAAAGAGAAAGAGAGTAGCGCGCGGCGAGAAGTACGAAGGAGACGAAAGGAAGGGACAGAGCTACAGATAAAACCCCGAACGCAGCTCGTCCACGACTGATTCCCCAGGCCTACACGCACCCTCTAGTTTTCTCCCTTTCATCCCCCACCACCCACCCTC